AGTGAAATCCTACCGGCAAGTATTCAAGACACTACGTAGTTCAATTAAATAAGAAGTATAATCAATAGATAAAATTAACTCTATACCTTTTCCAATCTAATCTATCTGAGAAACTTCAGAAAGAGCTTAAATCCTCCTAGAAAAAAAAAACCTTGAAGTTAAACTTCAACTCACAACTGACACAAAAGAACAACACTGCAGAATAATCTTTGAAGGAACTACTGCATAATTGCAAGCAGCCTAATTGTCTCAACCTACCAAGCACCACAAACTTTAAAGGAACAGAACAATATTTTTTATGCCATGATCATTTAGAACCACAGTTAGCCATAAACCAATCGAGAGCAGGATTGTTTAGAACATGTTTCTGATGGTCATGAATTTCAGAACATTCTTGTTTACCATATAGTGCATCAGTGTGCGAACTGATCAAGGACCATGAAAAAACAAGCAAGCGGGCACGCGGACGACAAGCAGTGGCCGGTGGAGGTACTGGATGGTCGCACCGTCGGCCACGAGCGGCGGAACCAGCGAGCTGGCGAAGATCGGCGCCGTGGCAGCGATTCCGCGGGAGGGATGACAGACACCACACGCCAGGAAATTTCCTCCCGCGTAGAAAAACGGCGATAGGGCCTCGGTCTACAGCCCCCAGGCCTAAGGGCTGCGGAGGGGTATTTGAGGTCCTTCCTATTTTAGGGCATATAGTAAGGGCTTTGCTGGAGTTTATTTTTTGTCCTTAGCACCTAAAAACTGTTTAAGAATTGTATTTAGGGTCTCTGCTGGAGATGCTCTTATGAGGCGCTTATTCGTGTCAGGTTTAGGACACAGAGTAGCAACCTGTGAATAGTGGGTGGCTAATTTGAGCTCAGGAGGATATTCTCACATCGAAATTGACAGGTGTTCGTCATGGTTAATTGTGGGATTTTGAGTTTTGACCATATAATATGACCAAAATGAGTCATTTGATCTCTATCACGTTCTCTAGATTCAACACTTAAAATAAAAGGAGCCCAAATTTGTACACATTGTTGTTCCTCCAGTAAAAAAAAATTGTCTACGCTGTTCGAAAGCAAACAATCGCGTATGCATTGTCGTGTGGTTAAAAGGGTCATGGTGGATCAGCTCATCCAAATATATTTGTCTACATAGAAGGCAATGAGATGAGACGGTCAGCAAATCAGCGCTCATCTGTCCAAAGGGAACAACGTGACGGTCGCCCACGCCACGGTTCTTCATTCGCATTGGTGATTCGCGCGCGCGTGTCATGGCAACACTGCTCTCGGATGCAAAGCGTGTGCGCGTCCTCGCGGAATCGCTGCTCCTCGGGCCACCGGGCGTTTTCCCAACTCGAACTCCCAACCTGGTGTCGACAGGTGTGAGATGCCGCGCCCATCGCGAGCACTTGGCGGCGCTGGAGTGGAGCTCACGAGCGGGGCGCGTGGATTGGTCATTGGTGGCTGCGTCCCTCTCGCCTCAGCGCATCTCGCCACATGAGCGCCCACCGACTGGCTGGTTACCGCAGCACCTCACTGTCTTTCAGAAAAGCTCAAAACTTGTGTTTTACTATTAGCCCATAGTATGTGTGATTTCACACGTTTGGACCTATGAATCGCAGTAGGTTTTGAGGTGCATCCTTGGGCCTCGACGGTTTGGCGCATCATGGATGGGGTAAACGGGGCAACACAGGCTCGTGTAGAGTTCAGAGTTCAGACCAGCCAAGTCCATTTCACGCGCTCCGTTCAGGAAAAGCAAAGGACCGTCGAGAAGCAGAGGAATAGGGTGCCAACCCCACCATCTGGAATCAAGACTTCAGGTGTAGTAGAAGATGAGTCGCAAGAATAGAACGCGGAAGCATATCCTTCTAGACATCGGTAAAGAGAGCGAATATAATAGATCCTAGATCCTAACAGAGTATTATACTAACAGTCCGTCCGTCTTATTCAAATCCAGGTAGCGTCGCCCACAGATAACAAGAAAGGCTAAAAGGGTCTGCTCCCGTAAGGGCAATTTTTATAGTAGAGGTAACTACCGTATCTAATTTCATGCATGACATATATAATTAATTTAAGAGGTGATATGTATAATAGGGGCCTGTTTGGAAGATTAGCCCATGTCTAATTTTGAGAGCTAATGTTTAGTCATGAATTGCTAGGCTAAGCATTAGCCTAGGGTGGCATGTTTGGATCCATGGGCTAATTCAAGACTAAAAAGTTGAGAGAGAGAAGAAAGAGAGGAGAGAGAAGGAGAGAGAGAGCTGCTTTTTATGGTCCCCACATAAAATTACCCTATTAGCACCCCTTGGAGGGGCTAATGTTTTGAGCGGGGCTAATTCACTTTAGCCAAAAAATAGCCCACCTGTTTATATCCTTGAGGGCTAATTCAGGGCTAAAAGGTGAGGGCTAATGTTTAGCCCATGGAACCAAACAGGGCCTAGGTTGCCTCTACCACACAATCCCCAATATTTCTAACACTCTCACATGTTTATTAAAGTTTGTATAGGGGCTGCCCCTTGCATGAGAGGTGACTATTTCTCTCTCATCCTTCTTCTCTCCTCCACCTTACTATTTAGTCCTATATGGCATATTGAGGCTTGTGCTTGAATACCCATAGTACTTGTCCTAAGCAGCCGACGGCTTTCTGCCCAATGCGCCGTCGTCACGTCGCAAACTCAAGGCAAGGAGAGGACCATATATTGGACGTTTCAAAAAAACTTGGGGGAACCAGAATAAAGGCTCATTTCGGTGATTCATTGATTAAGTACTACTTCTGATTCAACGAATGGACATATTGACAAATTCAATACTGCTAAGAAAAGAAGGGAATCACTGCAGCGGAAATATACAATTTGTGCGGCATAACGCATACTCTCTCATTCCATAAAAAACAAATCTATTATGTTATATAACACATCTTAGTATTATAAAGAAAAAAATACGAATTACACCCCTGAACTTTTACGACAGTATGAATTGCCCCCCCCTCCACCCCCCCGAACCACAAAACCAGACATATTAAACCTCAAACTATTGAAACCGGACGAATTACCCTGACTCAATCCGGAACGGTTTTGGTTCTACGTGGCATACACGTGGCGTCGACGTGGAAATCCAATCAGCAAAATAAAATAAAATAAAATAATATAGGGCCCACATGTCATATTAACCCCTTGTTCTCTGTCACTTCTCTGACGTTGGTGTTAGGCGTCAATGGGCGAGCAGCTGCGGGCACGGCTTGGTGGCTCTGGCCGACGGTGGGCGCGGATGGGAGGGGGAATCGGGGGGACGCCGCCGATCTGTCGCTGCGGCCGCCGCCGCTGCTCCCCGCACCCGCCCGGGGGATGTGGTGGCCTCGTCGAGCTCCACGATGAGGTTCTTGATGTCGGCGATGCGGTGGCGCTCGAGCTCTAGCGTAGTCGTGTCGTGGTGTTGCCATGTTCGCCTCAACAAATTCGCAGTGAGGAGCTACAAATTTCGATGAAAATCTGTAGAACACGCTAAAAATCAGATGACTTAATGAATTTTCATAAAAAATGCACATGCGCACATACAAAAATGAGATTACCAGTGGTAGCTCTGGTGTCACTTTCCGGAGGATGCGCTGAGCCATGGCAGCGGCCATGGGGTGCACGATCGCCGACCGGTCAAACACCGGCGCCGGGGCAGATGGCCGGCCGAGGGCCGGCGCAGACCACGCGTCCATGAACCGCCAGAAGCTCTGGCCGTCCGGCACGGCGTGTTGCACGGCAACGCCGCCCCCGTCCCCGCCGCCGACGAACCGCGTCACCTGCACGGCGAGCAATGGCGCGGGGAGCTCGGGGGCCTCCAGGCTGGGCACGAGCCGCAAGAACGCCGGGACATCGTGCCTCTCGGCGGCTGACAGCGCCCGCGCGTCGCTGTCGCCCCGTCCCCAACGGCAGATGGCGAGCAGTCAACGACGACGTCGCCGGTAGAGGGGACGTACGTGAGCTTCCCGACGAGGGGGAAGAAGACCGCGACGGCGTCAGCGACCGCCGCCGTTGCCCCTGCCGCTTTGCCCACCTGTCCTAGAGGGCTCCGTCGCCGCTGCCGCTTCCCCCGCCCGCCCTGCAGGGCGCCGCCGCCGCCACCGCCGCTGCCCCCGCCCGACCTGGAGGGCGCCGTCACCGCCACCGCTTCCCCCGCCCGCCCTGGAAGCCGTCGCTTCCCCCATCCGCCCTGGAGGGCGCGGTCGCCGCCCTGGACGCCGCCGCTTCCCCCGCCCGCCCTGGAGAGCGCCACTGCCGCCGTCGCTTTCTGTCTGCGCTGCACGAGACGAAGAGAGGGGAAAGTGGAAGACGGGAAGAGCATGACGTGTGGGACCACCTAATTTTAGAATATTCATTTTATTGAGATGTTGCTGACTGGATTAATACATTGCCACGTGGATATCATATAGGACTAAAACCACCTTGTACAGCACCAAGGGGGGTTATTTATCCGGTTTAGAAAATTAAAGATGTTAAATGTCTGGTTTTGTTGTTGAGGGGGGTAATTCAGTCGACCGTCATAGTTTAGGGTAATTCGTATTTTTTCCTATTATAAATCTAAACAAGAATATGTTTAAATTCATAATACAGCCTCTATACATATATTCGTAGTACTAAATATGTTACATTCTATATTAAATTTATTTTTTTATGAGACAGATAGAGTACCCCGTACCAATGCAGCCATCGAATGGAACCGTAGAAGCGTACACACTGTCAGCTATTGAAACCCGCGCAGCCAACATATACCAGCAAACACACCAAAGTATAAAGTCACATCTTAATACAAACTACTCTAGATCACAGAGAAAATTACACGAGGATACGGAAGAATGGCTCATGTATGCTCTAGAAGACTAGAAGGTCAGATGCGAAACGAGGGAAGAGATTTCAAGTAAAAAGGAAAAGAACTGTATTTCAGGCTTCAGCCTTGGAGAAAATGCGACAATAATACGTAATGGCATTGGGGAACTCAGTTAAAATATTGAAGAACGGCTCACCATGAATGGAAAAATCATCAAGACGATTTCAGCATGCATAGACTTGAAGTCACGACACATACGCAACAGCTCAGCTGTGCTAAGCTCAGCACGACAAAAAAAAAACAAAACAAAAAACAACAACACCACCGCGGAACTAAAAATAGTTCCAGCCTGACGCAAAATTATGGATCAATATAATAAAGGAAAAGAATAAAAAGGACAGTCAGCATCATCGCCGTTTGAGTAACTATTATTTGCTTAAAATTAAAATATCTAAGAAAAATAAGTCTAGACAATTTATTATTGTGAATTCCAGCGGTTAGGGCCAAGGACCAGTAGAGTTACACGTCTGCAACTTTAGAAGTCGGGGGCAAGCCATGCGATAGGCTTGCTTACTTTGAGAAAAACTTCTGGCTAACAGATTCATAGCTCGGGACATGAATAACTGCAAGAAAGCATTCTAGTGAATCACAAGTCCAAAATTATTAGTTTATAAAAGGTAGTACTGCCTCCATCTTTATATGTATAACGCTGACTAGTTCAAATTTGAACTAGCCAACGTCATATAAAAAAAACTGGAGGGAGTATTACATAATCCTCACAAGGAAATACTTTGATGAAGATTAAGTTAGAACATACCGTCACCCCATGATGCCAGTGTAAGGGGTGATGAAATGATCTTCTTGGCAGTAGAAGAAATGTCATTCAAGGTGATTGCTTCAAGATCTTTCAAGAAATGCTCAATGGGTTTCCTGCGATCCCAACAAAGCTGAATAGTTAGAGATTCACAACTAAGGGTAAAAAGCTGAACGACGGTCTATTGCCATAATAGTGATGACCACTGACTAGCTAACAGAAAATTGTTGGCAATCCTCATTCCGCAATAGTTGATGCAACTACGGTTATATAGACATCCGGCGGTCTATTTGTATTGCCCAGCCCCATGCCATTCAATGGGATATAAAACATACATTACTATTGTAGTAATTATAGAAGATCGACATTGAGAGGGGCTAAGGAGAGGAATCATCTTGTTCAATTGCTCGGAGTGCTATACATTGGCAGGATGTCATTACATCAGCAAGGCGGTGCACAGGCGGCTATACAGATTAGTTTATTCAAACTGGATTTTCCGAGTTCCAAGTAAACGGACATACTCCCTCTTCATAGTAGTATATAGAGAAATGTCAATAGTAATGCATGTTAAAACTAGAATGAACTTAGCATGTATGTTCACAACAAAAAACGAACACTACACAAAAAGCAAACTGTTGTAGTTCATTCACAGTTGAAGGATCAAAGCTCTATGCTTGTGTAAATACTGAAGGTGACATCTCAATAGACAACATATATTTGTAGGTTTCACTATGATTTTAATGACATGCTAAAGTTCCCGTTCTTAAAATTGTCAGGACACAGCATGATTGCACAATCATAGCTCATAAATGATAGTGAATGCATGGCTAGTGCACATAAAGGTTTAAGAACCATGTGAGGTGACTTTTGTTGCTATGTTACCAATGCTGGTGCAACCATACCTTTCCCCATACGTCAAAATCTGCCTCCCTATGTCTTCAGATGCTACGACCTGCAGTGAAGAAAACAAAGTGTCAAGGATACAACAGGAAACAAAAGATAAGCACAAAGGATTCAAGTAGTGGTTAGAAATGCATACTCTGGATTCCAAGTTCATCAAAACTGCAGACTTGGTTGCCTGTTTAGCTCGATCAAGCTGTTCTTGTGTAACTACACAAAAAATACAGCCATGAGGAAAATATATATGGGCATGGTCCTTATAAATATCCAATATGTCAAATAAGAAGCAAACCTTTTCCAGGAGTTGCAACCTCAAGAAGCTCTCCTGCTGCCAAATCCACAGCCTTGGAAGCAAAATTTGGGCTCTGATTGCAAGACATAAAGCTGTGTCAATTATATATCATGAAAGGAGTAGCAAAAAGTGTTACTGACAAGTGATTCTATCATTTAATAGCACAATGAACACAACAAAATGAAAAGAAAGAAATGGATGCAAATTGATGTCTCTACAAGGCTTTAGTCAATCTTCTCACTCCCTTTGCACAGTTTCATTTCCAAGGAAAACTAGAAAGAGGAAAAAAATGGTACAAATTGTTGTACAATATAGTGATAGGAGATATGGAGTGAAGGTAGAATGCATAACAAACATCTCAAAACAAATGAGTAGAGCAGGCGATGTGCCCATTTGCCATATACCCTGCTAAACAGAGAAGTATGCAAACAATACTTCTCACAGTTCCAGATGGATGCTTTCCACACATCCCACAAAAGTATTGGTTGCTTCTAGCTTCTATTATATCCGTAATAAAGGCACTAAAATTCTCCCTCTTCACCTACTTAAGGAACTTTTGACCTCTCTATTTTGGTTACAAAGGTCACTGGCTGCTTTGCCCGGTTTCATCACAGGCCTCATGCAATCAAGTTATTCCATGCGTAAGATGGTGTGTAAATCCCAGAAGCAGAAAGGATAAAAGAGACCAGGTTGGTTGTGCACACAAATCAACTACCAAATACAATGGAGTGCCTATGTTGAGCTTCCCAGGGTCACAGGACCCCAGATAGATTATTCAATCCTAACCAAATTATGTCCTAAACTATTAAATCAGTCAATAATTAAGTAATAATGTATTGGACCCCCGGCAATTTTTGTTCTGGGTTCACCACTGACCAGATATACACATAATGGACATTATAATAACTACTAGAGTAGGCTATTCCATTTGGTATAAAAAGACAGACACTAAACTACATTTACTTCTTGAATTTGGCAAAAAAAAAAGCAGGATCATCCATGTCTGATAAGGGGCTCACAGTTGTTGCATGAATTCCAAAAAGACCAGAATGGTTGTAGATACTGTTGAATGCAGAGAATGACTCGATCTGATGGTAGTTGTTTAATATCCGGAGATCTGTAAATAAAGCATCACGCTAATGTTAAGAAATTGGCACAAGAAGTCAACTTAATTTTTTGAAACATTGACAAGAATGTGGAATTCAACATACACAATCGAGAATGCATGCCCTTCCCAGGACCACCAGCAGAGAAAGAACCACCTCCTCCCATGAGCATCTGCAAAATAACAAGACCATCCATATTGCGTATAAAGAAATGGTGAACATATAAGGCAGTCTACTAGACAGTAAACTACATAAAAGGTATACCATAGTTGAGTTTTGTCTCTGAATAATGGTTAAATTTGATGTTTGCCAACAATACCTGAAGAACAGTAACAATGATGGCAGTTTTCTCTTCAAACCATCCACCTGGTACTTCAAAAGCAAGAGCAATATGTGTCTTCTGTTCATGAAAAGGAAGCCAGGATTATAAGTACATATACACATCCTCATCAACAAACAGCGTAAAGCAGCAAAAGCTCACGTCAGAGTCCGCTTGACAACGATAGTCTCCTCCCACATAAACTGATTTTGGCTCTTCTGGACGCTTCACACTGGGAAGATCCGACAGAAGTGGCTCAGCAATTGAAACTAGTTCATCATGTTCAACTCCAGATGCCGCAAGGACCATCCTAGGTGCTGTGTAATTTTCCTGAATTCATCAATGCAAGCATATGTCAAAGCACGCACTTTCTAACAAAAAAACAATATAAATGGCAAGTTGATGAATCTTACAGCAATGAATTCCTCAAGGATACTACTGTCCAACCTATGAATAGCGGACTGAGGTGCCATTAGGGGCTTCGCCAGTGCCCCAGAATAGCCAGCAGAATGGAGTGCCTCTAGAAGTAAACCTTGAGGATTATCAGAAACTTCAGCTATTTCAGCCTTGATCTTCTCCAGCTGTAGGGGGAACAAGACATCATTATTATAATGCCAACATATACAGAATATCAAAAATGCTAATTTCGGAATGACAGAATACCTGCTCTTTAATCTCCCAGTTAAAAAAGGCTGGGTTCCTCACACTATCAATAAGCACTTCAACCATCTCAGGTACATAGGCCTTGAATGCATCATAGGTATAGCACATTTGTTCACGAGAGGCTGATGCAGAGACATTCCCTCCAATGGCTTCTACTTCACGTACTAGCCGCAAATGACTCCTGTTTGTAGTGCTCTTGAACGCCATTCTCTCCAACAGATGTGATGCTCCAGATGAAGCAGGTGTTTCATATATTGAACCACAGTCAATATACAGTCCCACAGATGCTGCTGGACTCTGCAGATAAGTCCTAAAAAATTTACTTTTCATGCTGATGCAGAAAAAAGAGAATCTATTAAAACACCTGAAGGCATATAGTGATACCATCATACCACTGACGTTTCTGAAGCAATCTTGATGCCATTCGGGAGAGTGGTGACTTTTGTCTTAGACGGTTCAACAAAGTCTGGCAGTGGTGGAGGAAGGGTAATACCCGGGAGAGGGACATCAAGAGGAGGCAATTGGCTTGACTTCTCCCCAAGAAGCCAGCTAAACAAACCACCTGAAGACTGCTTCACAACACTTGTACTAGCAAACCTACTATAACTGTATCTCTGCAACCACATAAGCAAAAGAGATGCGTCTTTATGATACATGATATGGTTTTATGGAAATAAAGGAAAACAAATAATGTGGCAGAAACAACATGAGGTGAAATTACTTAGAAGTAAGAAGGTACTCAAACTGAAAAACTTGCACATGAAAAAAATTCTATACAAATTACAGAAAATACTGGAGGCAGTGGTCACTGAAAAACCAAACTAGCAAGATCATATTGCGAAAAGAAATCTCCGAGAAGTAAACTTTGCAGCTTAACTTATACTGTCATACATCACCCTTTCCCTTTGGAATCAAATTGCAGTATAATAGTTACATTAAAATAGTTGTTTTAAACATTCAGGTGAACCTTACCCAAAAAAACTCAAAATATCGTATTAACATTATCAATCTGAAAAGATGATATAAGCACTATGTGTATTGAGTTAGCGATAACTCATCAACCCAACACTTCTAGACAGATCAGACAAGCAAAGAAAACAGCTTAAAAAGTCAAAATAATATAATGCAATAGGCAAAAGAAAATGTGGCGTCCGTGCATTCAACATAGCATCCCGCACCGTCACGAAAAATGTTGGTTAAAGGATTTACAGGACTTCAGCTGCGTTATCTGAATAAATTTAACAGGAAAACGGTAAGTGCTAGAGAGAATCAGTGACCGCTAAATGTATCGGGATGCAGGTTTCTTCTTCTCATCGTGGGACAACAAACAATCTATCTCCCGTTTCAACATCTGACTAAGTAAACAAGGATTAGCCACAATCACCATCAATTCCTACACGGAACGCCCCCCGCGTCGGGCGAATCGGATGGGGGGTTTTGCAGCGGGAAGGATCGGGATGGGAGGGTGCGGTACCTTGAGAGAGCGCAAGTGGCTCCCGGCGATGCGGTACATCTCTGCCGTGCGCGTCGCGGAGGCTTGGAGGAGGCGACCGGCGGAGATGAGGGGAGCCGCCGCCGGGGAGGTGGGAGACGCGGGTGCGACCGTCCGGTGCGGCGCGGAGGTTGAGCTCGGCCGGGTGGAGACGTGGAGTGGTCGGATCCGAACTGTGCGTAGGTTTTGTGGGAATGGGAAGGCTCTGGTTTTGTGGGCTTGGTCATGACGGGCTTCCATAGAATCATAGGCCGAAGGAATAAGTTCATCCGAGGTCCCTTAATTTTACAACAAATCCGATTTTCGTCCTTAAACCCCAAAACCAGATACAACCGGTCCCCAATCTGTCAAAACCGGTGCCCTTGGCGGTTTTGAAGGCGGTTTTAGCTGATATGGCGCCATTTGACTAGGTCTCCGTCCCACGTGACATTGATGTGGCGATGACCGTGGCAATTATATCTCAGAAAAATAATAAAAATCATGGGCCCACATATCAACCACACAAAAAAAATCTAAAAATGATGGGGCCCATATGTTAGCTACAAAAATAATATGGTGAGGCCCGTGGGCCCCACATGTCATCTCCCTCTCCCCACTCGGCTCTCCCTCTTCTTGCTCATCACGCCGCAGCATGCCGACGACGACGACAGCGGCCGAAGCATACCGACGGAGCGGCGGCTGCGGCAGGCCGCGGGCGAAGGAGCCCACGAGGAGCGGAGGGGCGGGCGGAGTGGCGGCGGCGGCGGCGGCGGCAGGGCGCGGGCGGCGGCGGCGGCGGTGCCCAGAGGAGGAGGAGGTCGCCCCCGAGTTTCGCCACCTAGATTAGGATGACAACGAGGTCGGCCTCTTCGCCGTTTTTGATGGCCACTCCGACACCGATGTCGCCACCTACATCCGGCCCCACAAGTCATCTCCCTCTCCCCACATGTCCTCCTGTGCGGCCGCCGTCCTTCGCCCCAGTCCACGCCGCCTCCTCTCGCCCTCCCATGGCATCACCCACCCCTTGTCGAAACTTAAACAATTAAATGTACCAGAAATCTTGGTTTACCTGGCCCCTGTAATTCCTGAGGTTGATCTTGACGTCGGATTCGAGCAACAGAGAAACAATTTGAACATGCAAGCAACAGAAAATGTGAATGCAGTATTGCAGTTCTTTTACCCATCTATACAGAAACACTGATACTTCAGCTAGTTTGGCAAACAAATGGCATCACCTCATGGTGACCCTGCGCGGCGGTGTAGTGCAGCGGCGAGTTGCGGCCGCCGAAAGTGGAGTACCAGGCGAGCCGCGGGTTGTACTCGAGCAGCGCGCGCGCCTCCTGCAGGTCGCCGTCCCTGGCCGCCGAGACGAGCCGCTCGCCGGAAGCCGAGCACCCAAAGGAGTTGCCCACAAGGTTGAGGAACCCCATGGATGCTCAAAGCTGAGGATCTCCTCACGGCACAGCGCCCTTTCTTGCATGCACAGGAAGGACTCGAATCGAAGACTTCACCCTGAAATTTCCCAATCCACCAGGCCGGGTTGACGAGGTTGTAGGTGCGGGACGTCAGCGTTGTGGTGGCCATCTGGAAGCTGAACCACCGGCCGGAGTCCACCGTCGAGACGTCGGACTTGTCGCACTCCGGTATCGTGTTCGGGTGCTCAAGGCGGCGGCCGCGGGTCGGGCTCGCCGGCGCGGAGACCGCGAAGAAGGGGTGCCGGAAGGGGTCGACGTTCTAGTCCGGCTTCCTGATCTTGGGTGCCTGCGACGCCGTCGGCGACGAGAGCGGCGGCGTGACGGGCGCGCTGCTGGAGACGCGGAGCGGCGGGAGGTTGGGGAGCCCCTGGAGGAACGGGAGGAGGCAGGAGGCGCTCCGCCCACGCCCTGCCGCTGTCGCCACTCCGCTCGCCCCTCCGCTCCTCGTGGGCCCCTTCGCCCGCGGCCTGCTGCAGCTGCCGCTCCGTCGGCATGCTTCGGCTGCCGTCGGCGGCGGCGGCATGCTGCGGCGTGACGAGGAAGAAGAGAGAGAGCCGAGTGGGGAGAGGGAGATGACATGTGGGGCCCACCATATTTATTTATTTTTAGCTGGCATGTGGGCCCCACCTTTTTTAAGATTTTTTTTGTGTGGCTGACATGTGGGCCTATGTTTTTTATTATTTTTCTGATATATAATTGCCACGTCATCGCCACGTAGACGTCACGTCAGCCAAAACCGCTTTTAAAACCGCCGAGGGACCTCGTTTGCACAGGTTTTGACAGTTCATAAATTGGTTGTATCTGGTTTTGGGGTTCAACGACAAAAATCGGATTCGGTGTAAATAGAGGGAAGTTGGATGAACTTATTCCTAGGCCGAAAGGTTGGGAAATGGGCCCACTGGATAGACTCGTACCAGGCCTTTAAGAGTTAAGGGATGGCTTTGTTGGATAAGTTCCTTTAGGTCTTTTAATTTGTCACCAAGTCTAAAATTCATGCCTGAACTGAAATATCAGATATAACTCATCCCCCAACTCATAATGCAATGTCAACTTTGGTCTCTTAGCAGTATAGTGATCGGTTTTGGCTTACGTGGCGAGTGGGACCCACGTGGCCCCCACATGTTAGCGGCCACATGTGAACTGAGAGATTTGAGTCAGCAAAAATAGCACATTCGTCGCCCTCCACACGCACCCTGAGTCCCCCTACTTACCGTGACCGACATGCCTTGAGTGCATTCCCTTAGAGCAAGGCTAGTAATACAGCCGACCTGTTAGCTAGAAGGTTCTGTGTAGTCTTCTCTTAGCTTACCCATATAATAGTTAGCTCTTTACAATTAATATAGGGCCCACTTATTTCTCTCATAGAGTTTCTTGGTTCTTGTGTCCAAGTCGGCTGTAAGTTTACAGTCCGCTTCTCCTCTCTCTCCTCTCTTCTCTCCTCCACCTCAGCATTTAGCCGGCTTGTAGCCTACTATTATACTTGCTCTTAGTCGCTTCTCCCTCGACGGGATCTAGATTTGGGTCGTCACCCTCGAGTACTAGTCGTCGCCCAGCTCGTCAACGCTGACTCCAACTAGTTGCATTGGTTATCGCTGTGGTCGATGCGAGTCTCTCAATCTACATCAGTGCTCCGCCTGCCTTGTCGCCGACCAAGGGAGTAGGCCCCTCCTCGTGCCTCCCGTGGCGCAATCGCCGACTCTACCCGTTGGGGTCCTCCTTCAGCCTCTGCTATGGCCGTTACCGTCGGTCGGGTCCTGCTCCTGCTTCCTTCAATGCCTGCAACCGCCGGTGTCGGGGTCCCCAACGCCGCCAACATGTCGCCGCCCTACGGTTGCTTCCTTCTTGTCGTATGTGGGTAGCCCCGTGCTGGTATCTACTCTCTTTGTTTTGTCTTTTCTCTTCCCAATGAACTTGTGCATGTTAGCCAAGGGAGGAAGGAGAGAAAATTGGTGCTAAGAGATTTGAGTCAACTGTTGTGGACTGTAGAGGATGTGCTATTTTTGTTGCCCCGCCTCAATGTTCTTCACCGCAAAGACACCTCAGCCATCACTCACAGACCAGCGCACCTTCACCGACCCGATGTGTGCACGTGTACTGGGCGAGGGCCCGCAGGCCCGTACCCTGGGCGTGGAGCTCGTCCATCTCCTTCCTCCCGGTGTTGTAGCATTGGCGTCGGCAACGCCGCGGACAACGATAAGCCCCACCACGGCAAATGAGAAGCAACAAGACACGACGTTGCACTCCACCACCTCCCTCCAGACACCTTGCAGATCTCACTCCACCCTGTACATGGGTCTCACTTCAATTTATTTATTTTTAACCGAATACTCACTAACGTGTGGGTCCCATGGTTTTATTTGACTTTGTCAACACCACGTAGATGCCACATTAGTTGAAACTGTTGTTCAAAACATATTGGGATCTTACTTGAACTGGTTTTGAGAGTTGAGAGGTGCGTCATATTTTGTATTGTGGATCAGGAATGAATTTCAAACTAGGCAATAAATTGAGTGACCTAAAGTGAACTTATTCCGGCTTTTGTTGACTAGTACAAAACTGCACATCCACTTCAGCCCATTCCTCTGTTACATGATGCTATGGTGTTATGTGAAACTAATGCTTTTTCCCCTTTTTTTTCCTTGAGAAACACACGGAAATCTAGACGTTCACTATGCGCGCGCTCACCCTATCAATGCACATATGCACATCACATCCTATTAATACCTTCGGATGACTAGACTGACATATCCCTTCTTTTTATAAAGTTAAGGCCAAAAGCTCAAACCTCATGCTTCCACATTATTATCAAATTGTGAACCGTTGGATGAATGCATTAGATCGCTTCTCAGACGTTGGATGGAATGCAGCATAGAGCCCAACCCATTAGTCACCGAGTGAGTCTCTTCACCTCCTCAGCGCCAAATGTAGCCCACATGAACAAATTGGTCCATCTCCACACACATCTACATGTATCCAGCCCGTCAATCCGTATAAAAGAGCTTTATGGCTGAACGCCCCTTCAGTTGACATGTGCTACCTAAATTATCTACAAATTTTGGATAGAGCTGTTAAAAAGAATTTCTCCAAGAAAGCTATTTGTTTCTTCTGTTTCTTCTTGAGATTGTACCTCCTATCTAACAAATTGATGTTAACCAAGTCCCACAGCAACGCACGGGGCATCCTCTAGTTTTATAATTGATGAAGTCATCGTGAGTGTTTCATTGTGTATGGGTATTCCACCTACCATGCTACCACTAAATAAATAGTCGTAAATCCGAACTCCCGTGTTAATTCCAAGAAGTTAAACTACACACACTTCGCAGCGAATGTGTTTTTCCCGGTTAAAAAAAAGAGATGTATCTTTTTCTTCAAAAGTACGTGGAATGGACACGCACTGAGTTTATGGCAGCTTCGTTTTAGGTAATTTTAGTCTTGTCACACTCCTGTAAAATAAAGTATTTGCCTCTTTTTATCCTTTTTGTGAGTTGTAGGCTCGTGAAGCACGTTCTTTTTATCAAGGTGGAGTACACGTAAGATGTTGAAGTGGAATCCGCAATCTGAATATGACATGTGTAGAATATGTGCTTAATTTATCCCCTAGCAAGAGCCTCATGATTTATCCTACAATGAATCAGCTGATGTCAAAATTCAAATTTAAAACATAATTTTAAGTTAATTTTAGAGTATTTTCAATGTAGTTTTTTTTGTCAATATTTATTCATAAATTATTT